TACCAAGCGTAAATAACCAAGTAAGTTTTCTTGTGTATATTTAGTAATAAATAAAATTATATTTTTTTTCATTTAATTATATGATGCTGAAAGCAGCTGACAACTTTTTTTTTTATTTAAAAATGAATTTATTAGTAATGAAAAATTAAGAAAATTTTTATTCATAATTTGTTAAATGTATACATAAAATTTTTTCGAAAAATTTATTCATAATTATTTATTTTAAGCACAATCTTACAAATCAGACATCTATTAATTGCAGTATCATAAATATAAATTTATTATTAAATAAAAAATCTCATAATTTTTCAGGTTAGGTTGCTAATAAATAACAATTATTTCAAAATATACACATAATTTTTACACACACAAAATTGAAAAATTGTAAATATAATTATAATATAATATAAAAATTGTTAAATAAATATAAAAATTGTAAATAATAAAATTTATGATTAATTTAGATTACCCAAGAACAAAATTTGAAGAAAGATGATGCTACTGGTAAACAGCACTTAATGACATGCAACACTATTAATCCTGGTCCATCAACATCCAAAAACTTCGAGCAAGAACATAGATCTATAACAGCTAACTCTCCGCTACCTTCACTGACATTAGACTTACAAAAAAAATTAACGGAGGATGGTGTACTGAAAGCTCAAAAATATTTTATCAACTTTTGGGCTTCATACTTGTGGGAAGTTATGAATACCAAACCAACAAAGTTTGATTATCATAATTTAGCGACGAGTATTGTACAGGCTCATCCAGAACTTAAAGGTGGATCTAATGAATGTGTAAGTATTATTTATGTTTACTAGGCATCAATTTTGTTTATTCCATTGTCAAATTTAAATTTTTCAGGGGATCGTTCGAAGTCAATTAAGTATCTGGATAAGAAACCATCGTCGTGGGTTGAAAAAGACTGGAAGTGTTAAAAGAGACCATGATGGAAATAGCAAGCCTCCAACAGCTTAAGCGGTTTTCTTGGAAAATAATACGTAATTATTAAAATAATTTCTGAAATTTAATTACTTGATTATTAATAACAAATTTTACACGAAAGAAAATGATTTTAATCAGCAATCGCTTTAAATAATAATTTTAAATAGTACTATAATGATTTTAATGTAGTCATAGTTATCGTACTTTTTATGTGCTGTTTAAAAAGTACAGTTTAACGGAAGAGAATTCCTATTTTAAATAGTTAAAATTAATTTTTTTTTAATATCCTATATCATACTGATAGGAAGATTTGTTTACAGTTGAAAATATTTGTTAATATTTAACAAATCATTTACTACAGACCACTTTTTAGTTCTTAACAAATATTTCTTAGTATTTAAAAAGATTTATTAATATTTAATAAATGAATATCAGATTTATCAAATACAAACAAATCATTTTAAATACTAAGAAATATTCGTTTAATACTAGGAAGTAGTCTATAATAAATGATTTGTTAACTATTAAAAAATATTTTTTAATACAAATAAATCCGTCTATCAGTGGATTAGTTACTTAAGTAAAAATATTGACTTTTTTATTCGCCGTGATATTGAAAAATCTCTCAAAGAATTAAGTAAGCCATATAAAAAAGGAATCAATTCTGCCCATTGGAAGCAATTACTGAAAATAACTTTAACTTCACGAAGAGTTTGGATCGAGAATGAAGCTTCTCGAATTTCTGACATTATAGTCAAGTACCCGTGCTTAATTTCCTATGAAATGGTGTTTTTAATTTACCCGAGAAAAAATGTTTCTATATAATCATATATAATTGTATATGATCATATATGATTATGTATAGAATCACATATATAATTATATAGAATTATATATAATCATATATAATTATATATAATCATACATGATTATATATGGAATTGTGTATGAGGTTATATGTAATCATATATAATTATATATGACTATATATAGAGCAATGTACAGCCAAGCAAGATTATATATAATCATATATAGTTATATATAATCATACATGATTATATATGGAATTGTATATGAGGTTATATATAATCATATATAATTATATATGACTATATATAGAGCAATGTACAGCCAAGCAAGATTATATATAATCATATATAGTTATATATAATCATACATGATTATATATGGAATTGTATATGAGGTTATATATAATCATATATAATTATATATGACTATATATAGAGCAATATACAGCCAAGCAAGATTATATATAATTATATATAAATCATACATGATTATATATGG